TACTGGATTACTATTATTATTGTGCTGCAATGTGTCGTATACAGTTCCTGATTGTGCATTGAGAGTAGAATAATAGCTTCCATTGCTATCAACATTGTGATCTGTTTGATGTCCATTAGCTGACACACGAGACACTTTATCATACACTCCTCTCTCACTCTTATCCTTAAAGCGACGTACCTCTGTGTAAATAGGTGGGGGAACTACTGCTGGAGGAGTATTAGGAGGAGGATCATCTCTCACTACAACATTCAATGGGATCTAAAATTTATTATAATTTATGCTTTCATTAAAATGATAAAGTTTTCCTTACCATATTTGGTCCAGTAGAATAGATGTTACCAGTAGTCACTTCCATTCTTCCTCTTCTCTTTTTAAATCGAACTGTTGCTGCTACCACTACAATTACTATAACAACTACAATGTACATATTAATGACAACATTTGATTATAATGTACATACCAATTATTATAATTAGTAGTGCAATTGATATCCCAGAAGCCAGTCCAATAATTGATGATGAAGAAGATATGGATGAAGGAGCTGTCAATGAAGGAGTTGGGGATGAAGAGTATAGAGATGAAGATAAAGAAGTTGGGGATAACAAAGATAAGAATGAAAGAGCAATGGATGAAGAAGCTAAGGATGAACATGCTATAACAGATGAGGATGAAGCAGTTGAAATACCTATGTATACAATAAAGTACATTATAACTACACAAATGAACATACACTGTACCTGTCACTAATGTACTAGTTAATCTAGAGGTAGGAATATAAGTAGAACTACTGATGGTACGAGTATGTGTGCTATCATCTATGATTATGCTACTTATAACTTGATGTACTGTTGAACTTGATACTGATGAAGTAGTTGAAGTAGTCAGCACTGATGAAGGAAACATTTCAAAATCAGACATTATTGATAGAGTTGATACAGATAAAGTAGGCATTCTTGTTGGTGAAGATGTCATTGATGAAGTAATTGAAATTATTGAATTAGTAGTATCTGTTAAAGTGAAAGTAGTTGTAACTGATGAAGTAGTTGCTACTGGTGAAGTAGGTATTATCAATGGTACAGACATCATTGATGGAGTAGTCAACACTGTTGATGTGAGTGATACTGATGATGAATGAACTGATGACATTAGAAATGAAGATGTGAAGTCATTAGTAATATTAATACCAGTTATTACAGCAGGACAATTAGATATACAGTTCCATATGGTTGCCCATTCACATGCATACAGTGTTAAGTTATTACCAGCTGGTATGTTAGTAATACACTGAATAAAGTTCAACTGATCATTGGGAGATATATCAAAACCATCAATAATATAGTCTATATCATCAGCAAGCAGAATCACATCAATATAAGGTGTACTGCCACTGACATACTGAAACTGAACACAAACAGAATTTGATGTGATATTAATTAATGTGAATTCCTGAAGATCATGAGTACCTTAAAATAAGTAAATATCATAATGTATTAATTGTGTT